ATACTTCAAAACAAACAAATATATAATTGTGTTTATGGTAATACTAACCCCATCTGTTGTCGCTTTTAATATAATTAACTTAATACAAACATAATGGTGCTCCTGGTGTTTGATTTATTTTAATTTTAATTCTCTGATTCGTATTACTTCCAAAAGTTTCCTTTAAAACATTAAAATGAATATCCTACAAATGTAATTGTGGAAAACAGCATGCCTAGACTGCGAAAATTTCAATATAGGAGCAACAAGCTAGAAAGTAAAGACCAGATGCAAATAATATGAGAAACAAAAACATTCCAACGTAATGAACATATTAATGAGAAACACCACCAAATAAATAGGTAAAATGTTATAGTATTCAATGTGGAGAGAAAAATCAAATAAACTAAAAATTTCGAAGCATTTGGAAACAAAAAATTAAAATTTAACATAAATATAACATTGGGAGCACGTTGTATTTGGGGCCCGGCATGGCCAGGTGGTTAAGGCACTCGGCTCACAATATGAGGGTCGCGGGTTCGAATCCCTGTTACACCAAACATGTTCGCCCTTTCAGCCGTGGGGGCGTTATAATGTGACGGTCAATCCCACTATTCGTTGGTAAAAGAGTAGCCCAAGAGTTGGCGGTCGGTGGTGATGACTAGCTGCCTTCCTCTAGTCTTACACTGTTAAATTAGGGACGGCTAGCGCAGATAGCCCTCGTGCAGCTTTGCGCGAAATTCAGAAACAAAACGTTGTATTTGTATTAGGTTCATCATATTAACAACAGATGGGGCTAGTGTAATCATAAACACAATTATTGAGTGGAATATATTTGTAATTTTAATATATTAGTATTTTGTACATGATCATGTCTCACTGTTAGACATAACATTGTAACGAAATAAAAACGGTTATCCCACAAGTTGCTGTTTCAAAACTTGATATGTATTGGATAGATAAGTGGGCATCTCTTAAAAAAAAAAAGGAAACCAATGCTATGTATGTGAATACAACAAATCAAAATCAAAACTTTTAACAAGTGTAAAATTTATTTGTATTATACTGTGGTATACCAATTATATTAACTCACGACCTTTTCTGCATATACGATCTATAAAAATATTAATCATACAGGCGACTAAAATATTGTAAACATTTTACATTCTGAGCACTGACATTTTCGTCTAAATCTTGTTTAGAGAAAACACGCCGACTAAGATTTTATATCAAAGAAAATTCGTATCTTGCATTTTCAATATTGTTGCGTCAGCGAGTCACGTGACTACTGTGACGCCACGTTCTAGAACTATCCTGTACTTTGGCGAATGCTCTAGTATTTACTAGATAGGGTAGGCTGGTATATATAAGAGGGGGAAAACGTGACGCGGGAAAAATAATAATGTAATGTGTGTGTAGACAGTGAGTAATTGATCTGCAGTCAGAAGTATTATTGAGCACGTTCGTTGTTATAGCGTTTGTTTAGCGCGATTGTTGAAGTTGAGTGTATCAGTAAAGTT